CCCCCCCCCCCCCAATAATCGGCCCCTAGAACCCACACGGGGAGTTTACTGATTTCAGGTAATGTTTTGCACTGCACCTTCTTCAAGTACAAATACTAGCACAGCGATTCGCTGCTGAGAAGGGTGTAGGGATAGGAACTATGTATGTGGTTGTATAACTGGTTATCGCAATATATCGCGCTTTCAGTCTACGGGAGACAACCGTGTTTGAAAATGTGAGCATTCACCTACTTATGAGAGCCACATGCATTTGTGTTCTCTCCCCTCAAATATCACGTAAAATTTACAGCACTTCAGAATGCAACAAAATAATAAGTATAGACATGGACCTTGTCGCAATCAAAAGTGCCGACTTCGTATTATTCAAAGTACAATTTTGACTTGTAAGAATCGCCCAGTCACACTATCGATTCTCTGTTTCAAAACATAACACAGCTAAAAGGATCCAGAAATATACAAAATATCAGGATCTGATTATTTGAAACAAAACTATATTTAACGGTTGATCTGGCTAGAACCTTCCTGTGTGGGTTCAAAAAGATATCTTGCGCTGGGGGCAAAACACAGTATCATGCATTAAATATGTTGAATATGTAAATTTTTTGGACACAGAGATTTATTACAAATGAATCCCCCCCACAAACAGATCAACTGACACTTTTCTGTATTTCCAGGCCAAATTATTATACTGTTACTTTGGAGAAGCATGGAAAATCCCAGGCAATATCAATGGAGAATGAGACTGGCAAAATCAGCTCCTGTTGAGAAAAATCCTCAACAACAGAGCATAGGATTTCATGACCATCATTGCCACTGCATGTATTTAATGATTTGTTCAGGACACTGGGTTCTTCATTAATAGATCAATCATTCAATAAATAACACATCAGCTTGAAACAAATACCTGAACTTCACTGGTGGAACTCTTCTTCCTTTTCGCGTTCACCATCTGTTAACTCCAGAGGAAAGTTCTGGTTGTTTGTCCACTTCAGGACTCTAGTCCTGTTCCAGAAAATGAGTGTTGTGTGTACATCCGATTCACAGGTCGGACTCAACTGCATGCAGACTGCTGGTTCCTTGCCTCTCTGGTAGATGTACTGCGACTTCAACGGAAGCTCCCAATTAGTCAACTCTTGCGACATGTTTCTGGGTAGGCAGTGGGCCTATTCCTGTTTTCCCCACACAATGAGGCCCCGGAACCAACACAGGGAACAGATGGAACTGAGTGTGAGGAGACTGCTTCTTGTGAACTGAATGGAAGTATGAGGATGAGCATCATCATTTTCTTCTTCTTCTCTTCCTTTTCCCCCGTTGTTGATGCTGCATTTTCTTTATTATTATCATTGTTTTCTTATATTTCTTCTTCTTTTTCTCCACTTGCCTTTAAAAGGGCAGTTGCCAATTGTATTGTGGTTTACACTACACTGTGATCTCTGCATCTTTTGACCAAATGCATCCAGTTTCAGTTAACCCTACATTTCTTGCCATCTCTTTGTTTCCTACTTGTCTGCAAACGACTGACTAGATCATTTTGATACTGCATAGGGAATGGCTCTATATAATTATCTACATACATATAAGTACTTTGGCATTAAAGGTTATGGCCATGTGCAACAATTGTTTCACTATCATACAAATGAGAAACACTTTTATGGCTACAAACATCTAAAAATGTATTTACAGATTATAAATTTCAAGTGCTTCCAATTTGGAACATTTTAATACTGTCAGGAATTAGTTTTTGACCAGTTGTATTCTCTTAAATCTAGACATAGGATTAAACCTTATAAAAATAACATAATTCGGTAATGATTTTATTTGATTAAAGAACCCACATCACAGCACACGGGGCATTTCCATAAGTGCTCCGTCCCCATCTTCAGCAGCCAGTGAAGAGTTCCGATACTAATGGTGCCAGTAGTATTCTGATTAAAAATATACATAATTCGGTAAAAGTAATCGTTAATTAAAAAAACTAACAAGTGAAATCATTTAGCTTAATGAACAGACACTGAGGTCTCCATTTTTTTTTTAAAGGCTACTGACGGGAAAAGCTGAAGACAGTCGACATTTAGATAATACAAGTGGGAAGCTGACATCATAAAGATATTCTAGTGAGAGGGGGTGGGGTGTCTTCATAGCAAGCATGTTGTTCAAAAGGAACTAATTAGGGGTTTATCAAAACTGGATGAGTTGGACACAGAGTGCAGAGATCGGTCTAGCTGTAAACCACAATACAACATACTAACTACCCTTTTAAGGGTGACCGCAGAAGGTGTGGTTCTTTTCTGTTAAGTCACCACATCACGCCAGATTTAGGGACATCCCACAGTATAGGGGTTGTTAGGGTTAGGGCTAGTGTTCAATGGATAGTGACTGCTACTAACCCTAACTACTATGGGATGTCCCTAAATCTCGCCTGATGTGGTGATTTAACAGAAAAGAACCAAAGATGTAGATGACTCAGGAGGGGAGGTGACCATCATGAGATAAGCCGAACAGAGGTGTGTACAACCAAAGTGGACGTCTAAGATGTCCACAAGTTTTTGGAAGTGCACTGCTGTAAACCATAAATGTGGAGATATCAACTGGGTGATTTAAATATAAGGACTTGTCTGTTATATATATATATATATATATATATATATATATATATATATATATATATATATATATATATATATATATATATATATATATATATATATATATATATATATATATATATATATATATATATATATATATATATATATATATATATATATATATATATTATATATATATATATATAAAGGCATTAGAAAAAACACGTGACTAGTACATCACACAGCAACAGCAAGTGGCTTGTACATTTCAACTCACAAAAACTCCTGGCAGACACCAGCAATTTATAAACACACTATTTTATAGAATAAAAACTATGAGGGGATGAGATTACTAAACGTAAACAGTCTTATTTGGAAGCTAACAAAAAATTTTAAATTAGAACTGTACCAAACATTTGCTTTGGTGCTGAATAGTTGACCTAATAACTATTCAGTATTCGGCCGAATACTTGCAGTCGGGCCGATTACTAATAGTGGTTACCTTACACCCGCTTCTGCATACACTGCGTTAATGCTGACAACATGGAATGATTGATTTTGTTAAAAGCTAATGCCGCTTTCATGCATTAACTAAGCGGTCAGTGACAATTTACAAGCTAAGTTACTTGTTATAATAATTATAAAACTTTCATTTGCAGTTATTAGTTACCACAGACTGACTGAAGGATACAAAACACAAAATGTTTACTATTGTGTACTACATTTTGCGTACATTCAACATTATGAATGTTTTTTTAAGATTTATTAATATACTATATTTGTATTTGGCTGAATAGTTAGACCCGTTATTTGTATTCGGCTGAATAGGGATATCACCTATTCGGTATAGCTCTAGTTTGAATAGCACATCTATAAATAATACACAAAAATGTCTCCCTGGACAGGAAGAAGAATGAGGCGACACCTGGTGAAAGGAATGAGTTTCCTTCAGGCAGTGACGTCCTGTAAAGGACTCACTTCATCATTATGTTGATGTAAAAACAGTCACTAAGTGGAGAACCATTAAAGCCAGTTGCTTGTATTAACTCTTTCATTTCCAGACATCACCGATTAAGCTCATACTATCTTTATGCACTTGTTGCTTTAATAAATGTCGGAGTGTAAACAAGTTCCAATAATAACATTATGGAACACAGGCGGTTAACCTTTTCGCCCAGTAAAAATCTTTAAAACATGACTTTTTTAAAGGATTTGTTAAAAATAAACGCAATGTTACATGTCTCTATTACACTAAGAAACTATAAAAAAGAAGAGAAGAAGCAGAATAAATCTGGAGTCTTGGTAAATTATTATAAAAATCTAAAAGCTACGACAACAAGCAGGCAGGCAAGTCTGCTAGTTGCTGCGCCACTGCAGCCCCCAAGTTATTAAAGAGACGGATTTTTTCTTATTTAGAGTCAATATTCTGCGCAAATGTGATTTCTTTTTAAATTTGAAGGCAAGCTGAATGTTGAATTAAGAATCTACATCATAGCACTCAGGACACTCTCATAAGTGTTCCTTCCCCATCTTCAGTAGCAAACAAAGTTCCGAACTGTCTGATTGTACATCCATATCACTCCTTCCCTGAGTGTTCAGCACTCACAACGTCTAGCTGGTAATACATCAATTCACCACCAAGTGGGGAAGAAATGACCAGTCTTTCTGCCTGTTCATTTTTTAACACACTGGCATAACCTGGAGAGAATATCCAAAGGATTCTAACTACCCGGGACCTCTGAAGTGATGCTTGCCACTCTGCACAGAGCATACCTGTCTCCACCCTACTCAACATACTCTGAGTCAGTGACAATCATAGCATGTGTGTACAGCTGATTGTCAAGCCAGCAGTGACTGCCTTCACCTCCTTTCTCTAACTAGACTTTGTAATATTATATATGCCAGGCTTTGCTGCACGTCCATCCGCCTTTGCTATAACCCTCCCATGCACTTAATGAAGGCAAGTAATCAATAAACACAAACGGAGTAAAGAAATAACTGCTTTCCTTCCCTCTGACCAAGAAATCATGGGTTTTGTCGAAACAGCCACAGAAAGCAAAGTAACATCATCATTAATTTATAATAACCTCACAATAACAAAACAAATCAATTTGTTTTCACCCCAAACAATATTTCAACATTTTTGTTATCTATAAGCAAACCCACTACACAGCTACAGCCAGTACCAAAGCTGCAGTTGTGCTAGGCATTGTCTAAGGACATCATGTCAACCAAGACTCATAAAAGCTGGAAAAATGGCTTTCTCTGTATAAAACAACAGGGTGTGTTAAAATAACAACTAGACAGACTACAAGGAGTGCATAAACCATATAATCCTAAAAGGTATGATTAAACTCAGGGTGAGTTTGTCAGTACTGAAAGAGTTAAAACATGGCAGGATAAGGTATCAGACTAGTGTATGCGAGTGTAATCCATTATGTACTCTGTATCAAAGAAGACTACAACAATAGTAATATCATCACGATAGTAGCGTACCAGTTTCTCAGGTAAAGTCAACTGAGCAGACAGTTGACCATGTTCTTGACCGAGGGCATGTCGTATTAAATGTGTGGCCACATTTTCATCCAATGCTCTTTTGGCTAAGTTTTGTTTGCGCTTACGCAAAGCTTCATTGATAGCACCCAGAGAAGCATCTTCAGGGGGGCGGAAATGAGTTAAAACCTGCTGGCCTTCGGTATGATGTCCAACAAGCGAGACGACTTTATCCACAGACATACCCTCGGAGTCCCACAATCCATCTGAAGCTATGATAAGGAACCTGTCCCTTGGAGAAAGACGATAATGGATGACCTCTGGCTGAGCATCTAGATATGGCGGAGTCAGGTAGTTGTTCTGGAGCTTCAAGTCCTTGTACCCACCAAAAAACGGACCCGAACTCTGACTTGCAATTTTTGTGAGGTGTATGAGATCCCTCTTTGTCCATTTGTACCGGACATCACCAAAAGCTCTCAGGGGCATGAGCTCACCAAAAAGCCTACCGTTTTTCAAAATGTTACTAGACTCGTTTGGATGCCGTGAAAATAACCTCTTCACTTCTGCTGAGTTTTCTGCATCGTGCTTGTTGCTGACGCTGGTAGCGTGCCAACTTTCCGACTCGGAAGAGTGACTTCCGATGACTGCTTGGCTGTCTCCAACATTTGCCACATACAAGTCCAGCCCATCAATAAAAGCCACGCAGCCCACAGCCCCAGAGAATGCAATGTGTACAAGATCGGCTGACAATCCTTCATCCCCAGGATGAAAGCTAGCTTCTGTGGATATGTCCTGGTCCAAGCGCAAAAATGCATTTGTCAAAGCTTCTTCCACCTAAAAAATGATACACAGTATAAAAATGCATTAGATGCCTATGTATAAAGTAATCAAATACATGAGAATAAACATTAAAATGTGAATCCTGTGGGATAGTTACATCACAGGTGTGACGAGATATGGCTCAAATATACCGAGTAATAGCATTATGTATCATGGCAACCAGCTGCACTTCATCTCCTCAATGAATCTGTGGCATCCATTGCACAATGCTGTAATCCTAAATCATGTTGTTTTATAGGGTTCTAAAACATGCAGCAACTAAATGAGATGAAGCCTTATTTCACATTCTGTAAACAGTCTTATGATAAATCTTTAAATCCATCAAAGATGCAGACAGCGATAATGGAGAGTGAGAAGAAACGAAACTCATAATCTGTTTAATTTGCATCATTATCCCTCATAATTGGCATTATGAGGGATAACAGACTGACATGGCTGGGGCATAGTGAGAGATTGTCAGACGACAGAAAGGTAAAAAATTAAATACACAAGGCAGTTGCATGGTCGTAGACCATGAGAAAAACCAAGAAGACGATGCTGAGATAACATCCAGGCAGACCTACAAACACTTGGTGTCACCAAACGGAAAGAGAAGGCCAAACCAAAAAGATAAATGGAGGCGGGTGATATCTGCAGCAGTGAACCTCAAGGGCTCTGAATGCTGAAGAAGAAGGAGGAGGATGAGGAGAAGAGAAAAAAAAGAAGCAGGCGAAGGAGAAGAAAGGCAAGATCAATGGTATGCAGAGGACAGTTCAATGGTTTCACAGAACATCAATGAATCAAATGGTTTGGTCAGAATGGAAACAAATCAGCTAACAGCTAGAGCATACTTCAGGCTACAAGACAAGAGGCTGAGCAAGGAAGAAGTGGGTAGAGGGAGTAAAACAGCCACTACAGAAATACAATTTGACATTAACCCAAGCTAAGCAAAAATCTGTTTTCCTAAACTGAATGATAGCTTGAAAAAGAAACTCCCTGTGTGGGTTCGGAGGCCCTATTGTAGGGAAAACAAGAATAGACCCACTGCCAATCCAAAAGCATGTTGTAAGAGTCAACTAATTGGAAGCTTCCTTCGAAATCGGAGTCTGCCTGAGAGCCAAGGAACCAGCAGTCTGCATACAAAGTCACGAGCACATCGCAGCAAAGCTAGGATCAGTGTCTGTTGACAATTTAGAGAAATGGAACAAACTGCCGAGTTAAACCTGCCGCCGAGTCTCCCTGTGTGGCGCGGATGGGCTTAACTAGATGGCTAGGACCCTCGAGCAGCAGCTTCCGCATCTCCTGCAGCTTTGCCCGTGAGTCCTAGCCATTTAGTTTAGCCCCAATCCACGCCGCTCACGCGGCGTGGGGACTACTCTCGCCGGTAGCAATAGTCGCCGGAAAACCGCAAATTAAGTCGCTGGAAATTTGAAATTGACACGTGAGTGAGGCCCTATTTTTGGTCGACATCTTTTGTACCCGTTAGTCGGAGGATAGCCGGTCTGTGGATGCTACTAAAAAGAAAGGTGCGATAGCAATGCGGTATGAGCCGAGTTTCAATAGCCTCACAAACAGCAGATTCTCGGGCACTATTTACAACTTCTGTGCCACAATTTCCAGATATAAAGGTATAGAATTATCGGTAAGTAGTCGATTTCATATGATGTTTTTCGCTCCTCATTAGTTTCCACTTCACTTTTTAACTGTTTACAACACATGACCTGTGACCGCGGCTCGGCTGGATATTTTGCCGCCGCCATTTTTGCCAAACTTTTGTCGGAGGATAGCCCAGCATTATTATAATTTTTATAACAATTTTTACTGTTTAGTATCCAGTTGATAAAGATTTTGGTCAAAATGTTCAGTTGTGTTTGTGTGCATCTTTTCTGTTTCCTCCGCTGAGCTTTTTAGTCACATTTTGTGTTATACTTAGCACTTCTTGCAATCAGCTTGACAGCAGTCACCCCCTATCTATAAATCTTAAATAACTGTCTTACTCAGCTAAATGGAGTTTCTTGCATTTGATAATGTTTGATTCTCATCCTTGAGAAATCCTAGAGGGTAACAGTGACAAGACAACAAGCTATCAATATATTTTCATCATACATCATTAGTCCAGCAGCGTACTCCGTAACCAATGTAACTCATTTATACGGGTGAAAAAGGTTTCTGGGAACTGTTCCTGTTGGATTGTCATCAGAAAAGTAGCTACTTACGTCACTGGGTATCAAACTTTCAGGATACAGTCCTCACTGGGTATCAAACCATCAGGATAGTATTCACTGGGTATCAAATCTTCAGGATACAGTCCTCACTGGGTATCAAACCATAGGATACATTCCAGGAGAAGGAACTGTTTATTTATTTGTTTGCAATCACCAGCTGTAAACTCCAGCAGAAAGTCCTGGCTGTTTGTCCATTTTCAGGTTTTTGGCTTTGCTTAATTAAGGGCCTTAGTTCTGCATGTGCATCCATTTTACAGACTTAGCTTATCTGTTTGTAGATTGTTAGTTCCTTGCCTCTCAAGCATGTGCACTAAAGATTTGAAGGAAACATACATAATTAGTAGCCTCTTATGACTGCTTGTTAGGGGGCAGTGGGTCTTTTTCCTCCTCCCAAAATGGGACCCCCGAATACACCCAGGAAGAAAATGAAATTTTCAGAAATGAAAATTTTCACTAGCTAAGTTTGTTTTATAGAATCAAGTACACACCAAAAAGGGCAACTTACACGAGTATCCAAGCTATACATATCCATAGAGTCTTGTATGAACTGCAATGTGCTCTGCCAGTGTATGCTTGCAAGATCTGGACTGACTTCGTCTTTGGTGGATGTTGGCAGGAATTCTACCAGGTCTTCAGCTACCTCCATACCTCCATGATACAGCTGGTTCAACCTGTAAGTGTCCGCCAGGGAGATGGCAATGTACTGGAACAGCCTGTCTTTAAGAGCCTGGGCACAGGCACATCCAGAATGCCCATCGTAGACCCCAAACAGAAACTTTTCTGTGCTTCTGATTTTAGCCTCAACATGGCGGTCTTCAATGGGTTTATTAGCCTGGAAGTAAACAAACACACAAAATATTTGTGCGTTATCTTATTCTTTTACTCCAGCTACTTGATTAAAGCGGAGCTGCCATGGCGTAGCGGCTAAACGCCCATGTGCAGATCGGAAGGTCGCGGGTTCATTCCTGATGGAGCCTGACTTTTTCAAAAATGACCTTGACTCCCAGGTCAACCCAGTCTTGAGTGGGTACCGGGTGCAGCCCCAGGAGGTAAAGGCAGCCGGTGTGATGCTGACCACATCATCCATCTTCTGCCGATTAATCTATAAAAATACAGGTCTAGCCCTATACACCTAGTGTCGTGGAACACGGCCTTTTACTTTTTTAAAAACTTTTACTTCATCAAAGTGTTTGGGGAGAAATGTAAGCAGAATATACCACAAGACCCACACATGCTGGATTATAGGTTGCTTTATAATCATGTTGTGGTACCTCAATAGAATTGCTATACAGCTGAATGTCGTTTTCATGATTTGTACCTGTTTTATTCTTATTCTTGAGATGCCTCAGACTGCAATCCAGAGAACAACACCCCCCTCCCCCCCACCCTTTACCCAAGAACCCAAGAAGTATCTGATGTATGCTTTCTCTAATGCACTGTATAAGTTGATCATCATTTTTTCAGGGCTGTTCTTGATGCTGCCACTATCTTTCTAATTTTTCAAACAAAAAGTAGTATTTTTTAAGGGAAGTAAAGTAAAGGACCCTTTTCCATGCTTTCAGGGGCATTGGGCATATAGGGCTAGACCTATATTTTATAAACCAATCGGCACTTGGTGGGTGATGTGGTCGGCATCAGGTCATTTATGACAAAGTCTGGCTCCATCAAGACCCCAACCCAGGACCTTTCAATCGGCAGGCGAGAGCCTAGCGGCTACACCAAGGAGGCTCCAAGTAATATTTACCTTAATAAATATCCTGTTTAATTATTGCTGAGTTTGTACATTGTTCATTTTTGAGATCATTTTAATCGCACATCAGACATGACCATAAGTGCTCCAACCTCCTCCTGAGTATGTCTCCAAGTGTTTTTAGGCTAACAACTCCCATTCTGTTCTGGCTGATGTAATGACGGGGTGCTCCCGCATGGTTTTCCTGTCTCGCCGTTCCAACTGGTACACCCAGTGTAAGCAGTCTATTCAGTGAAAAATCTTTTTCCGTTAAACTGAAAGCCTCAGAGCGTTTAGTTCCTCAAATGGCATTGATGATTAATCTCCTGTCTATACAAAATAAAAAGGTGCTTACCCTAACAGAAAAATTTAAATGCATGAACAACAACACCTTGCACAAAAAAGCAAATAACCTAACTAAAAACCGAATGAAAAGCTTTCATCATCTATCAAAATTGTACTACACAAAAAAACAGTGATATCCTTTCTAAAGATCCTTCAACATGGGAAATAATCCAGACATACAGCATAAACCTACAGCCTAGCTATTCAGTCACAACAACAATTCCAGGCATAGACAGAAAGGCTGAAGAATGTGACCTAGTTAGGCATGCAAAGACCCTCGATCATGTCTACAACTGTTATCCAAAACCCTAATGGACACATGTATACACCGATGGACCATTGGAGGGAGCAGACAAAATGGAGGAGCTGGATCGGTCATCATGCTGCGACCACAGCAGAAACTTCATGCGTAAGAGCAGGGCAGCAAGCAATTATTATTGATTCAGCCAAAGTGCTTGAGGAAAGAAAAATTAAAAACAACAAAACTTTTACTTTGTAACTGCATGTCAGTCCTCCAGGGGACTCAGAGGGATCCACAAGTCAACACGGAGACAGAAATGAATGACCCGCCAGCTGAACAGACTTGCAGAAAACAATGAGATCACTTTTCAGTAATCAGTTGATCCCGGCTCACTGCGGCATACCAGGAAATAAGTTAGCAGACAGACTTGCTAAAAATGGAACAAAGGAGAAACAACACACCTATTTATTGTCATTACCAGAAATAAAAACACTTATCAAGGGAAAATACAAAAAATTGTGGAGAGAACAAACAAAAAGTAAATATCTACAAGACCCCATCAGCAGACTCAACAGGAAGCAACATACAACAATTTGGCTCTCCTCCGAACTTCTACCCGATATTATGGCGGCCAAGCAAAAAGCCTAGCAGGGCCTCAGTGGTGTGTAAAATGTGGACTTTCTGTAAAGAAACAAATCGCGGCAAAACTAGGATTGGCTCATAATAACGAAACAAATGCTCTGACAGGGTCTCAGCAATATGTTAATTGCGAACCTGTTTCTGCGATTATGCCGCACTGCCGACAGTATCCTTCGCGCCGCTCCGTGCGGCACGGGGTTAAACTACATAGCTGGGACTCACGAGCAGCAGCTACCGCATCTCCTTCAACTTCCTCTCAATTATTTGCTCATGAGTCCCAGGCATGTAGTTTAGATCCCCATTCGCGCCGCGCGTAGCGGGGAATACTGCCGGCGGTGAGTTTAACCATGTTTTTCCATGCCGAAAAGTGAGAGGACAACAACGACACTAATCTGCGTCAGAGCGAGTGGTCTCCCCGCCATGTGGCTATTATCGTCTGTAATGTTGTGTGTCTCAAATTTGTCATTGGTCGCTAGTATCGTCTGCAGAAATGCTTGAAATTGTCAACGGTCGCTATTATCGTCTGGTATTAGTCACTAGTACTGACTGCGGTGTTGCGTCTCTTGAAATTGTCAATTAATCCTAGTTTTGGCGCGATTTGTTCCTTGGCAGAAAGTCCGCATTTTACACACTATTAAGGCCCTGTTAGGCTATTTGCTTGGCCGCCATATTATCGGGTAGAAGTTCGGAGGAGAGCCAACAATTTTTGTCTACCGTAGTCTACGAACAGGACACTGCAAGTTCAACTGCCACATGCATAAAATAAAGATTGTATACAGTCAGCGTGCCCGTGCCTGTCAAACAGGACCACTCAAACACTTGAGCACATTCTGCAGACCTGCCCACTCTACATTCAACTTCAAAAAGACACCTGGCCTCAAGAGCAAAATGTACAGAGCAAGCTATGGGGAACAACGAAGGACCTGCTACTGACATGCGAAATCGAACGTAAAGAAGATGGCGGAAGAAGCGAAATGTATCAATAGTGATAAGTAAAAATCAAACTTACTTGTAATTGATTGCACTGGACTGCCTTCACAACTCCTCCGGCATGATTTGTGGACTTCTCGTTCATTCTTAAAATCGACGTGACCATTTGAGGAGTAAGTCGAGGTGATTCCACCGGGTCAGGTCCCTGGGAAAGCCTCAGTTTGTGAAATATCTTCATGAAGGAGAACCATCTTCTGTTCCCGGGACCAATAAATTTGGTAAACAAAAGAAGTCCATTTCTGGAAACTACCGGCGTCATTAACATACCCCGCAAACTTGTGAGTTTAACGGGCATAACAGATGTGGATAGTCTGGCCGTGGTTATCATTTTTTATTCGGATTCAGTTAAAATTACATCCTTGTCGTATGTAAAGTGGAAAGAGAGCAGAAACAGCAACAACCGGAGGAAGAATCGAAAACTTCGCCAAATGTGTTCGTGTTTCTATTTTGCTCTCCCTATTGGCCAGGTTTTTACAGATTTGTAAGCTACATCAGTCTCTGGGACCTCTTCACGGGTCATCCTCATCCAAATGGTTGTACTTTGTTCCATCGGGTGTTTATCGCTTGGTGTGATGGTCTAGTAGGGCACGACCTTCTCTATCTATAATTAGAGACGGCGTTGTAGTGGGGTAAGCAGTCAGTCAGTCGGTTAGGAAAATAAATCTCGCATGCTATAAACTTACTTTACTTTACTTTTACTTTTTCCTTCCACGTATGCCGCTAAGCGTTGTGGGGAGATGCAAGTTCCTGTCATAAGCAAGGCGGGCAGCATCTGATGTTCTGAGGCCATGCTTTTGGCAGGCTTCGGAGACCCCGTCAATCCACCGTTTCCTTGGTCTTCCTCTTGCCTTATATCCTGAGCTTCTTTGGTTGAAAATGTGTGATGTTATTTGATCATTTTTCATCCTGGTTAGATGTCCAAACCATTTCATTCTTTGATGTTCTATGTAGTCTAAACATGGTGTAGTTTTGACAGTGTTTCTAATGTCTATAAACAGACGCTGTAAATCCTGGACAACTAACAAACAGACCAAACAATTTATTGAGACCGCGGAGATAGGGTTTTTAGAAATAATCCTTAGAATTCCTTTGACAGCTAAAAGGAGCAACCCAGATAATTAAAAAGAGGAGAGGGCTTGAAGGCAACTTATCACAAACATCAGAAAGACACAGACACGATTTTTTTTTTTAAAATCATGTTATGAAAAGAGGGGAACTGGAACATATGGTGACCACTAGAAAGATCTGTGAAAAAAACCGACCGAGGAAGACAAAGATTCTTGACAGTCGTTTGTCATGGTAAGGAGGAGTGTCAACACACGAACTGATCCACACAGTTGCGGATCGCAGCCTGGGAAGAAGCATGATCACCCATGCATGTCGGCAGTGCCCTTGATGATGATGACGACCGTAGTATCGTTGTTTACCTCAACTCGAATCCCTGTCACTTAAAAAACTGGAATCATCATCAAAATTGCTAACAACCTTTGAACGAAACAAACAACAACATGCCGGGGTTTAAATTGTGTGTCCCCTAGAGGCCTTACATTTGGCTGAATTGATAATAAAAAAACCTGACTAATAGTAATTGCCGCTCATTATTAATAGATGTTTTTAAAGTGTTTATACAGTAATAGATATGTTGAAATGTGCGAAAAAAGTGTGCGCGAAATTATATATTTACCACCCCTCCCCCAAAAAGAAAAAGTTTATTAAATAAAAATATTTGTTATTCATATAATTTAATATAAAACTAAAGCAGACGATGGCAAAGAATTCAGTTACTTAACATATTGATATTGTCATTGTAAGTGTAAGATTGTTCAATAAATCAATTATAAATTTGTGAGGACGATTATTTTATTCATTTCATGTAGTATTTACGTCAGATATATATATAATATGAACATGTAAATACTTTTTTGCATGTTTATGTGTATGAATATGTAAATACTTTTTGCAGGTATATATATATATATATGTGTGTGTGTGTATATATATATATATATATATATATATATATATATATATATATATAAAAAATATATATATATATATATAAATATATATATATATTTGTGAATTGTTAATGCAAGGAAGCTAATTTAAATCTTAAATATATATATATATATATATATATATATATATATATATATATATATATATATATATATATATATATATATATTTGTGAATTGTTAATGCAAGGAAGCTTATTTAAATCTTAAGGACCCCACCCCCCCCTCCCCCCCCCCCCCCATTTAAAATACTTGCATCCAATGCACGGGAGTAAAGTAAAATTGGTGTCCTCGATTTGGAGTGTTGTTCCCCCCCCCCCCCCCTTTTTACCCACAACTCTTCCCTATTTCCAAACTCAGAAACGTCTGGGGTATGCAATCGAAACTAGTACTAGAATTTCATACCTCCAAAGAAGCATTTAAACTTAACTACTTTAGTATGTAACCAGGTTAAAATTCAGCAATAGCATATGGAAGTGGCAAACAGTTACGTGATTAGTTCTGTTTCATTCATTAAAAAAATGGTAAGAATGTCACCGCCAGCAAAATTACAAGCTCATTATTCTTGATTGAATGTGGCCAGGGTTCCTAATCTGTGCTCCACGAAGCCTCCAGCACTTCCTGTGGGCTGTGCAGCTGCTCCAGAAAAAAATGTTGCCAAGAGTTGACAGTATCATGTGTTGTATTCGTGATTATTTGAGGGGAAAAAAATGTATTTTTCTTCTGCGTTCGTCGGAAAATGTAATTGCGCTGTGCCTCTTTACAGCGTGGCTGCGATGTTTTCGCTTTTCGGCTGACACATTCAACTTCTGCAGGCAATTGTTGACTGGGTTTAGCCTTTCCAGAAATTACTGTACTGTCTACTCTTCCTCCTCTCCTCATGATTACGTCTAAAACATCATTATTTATGAGGCTTATGGTATGTTAGTCCTAAGGAACTGCACTGTAGGAATTGATTCTAAAAAGTGCTCAGCAAGTCATTATAGTTGATAATCACTGAAATATATAGTCTTCTTCTTATTTGGGGGGTGGGGGGGGGGCAGCGTGGTCTCGAGGCATGGTGTTCCCCTCGAGTGCTAGAGGTTCCGGGTTCCATAATCGGTAACGGCTAGGATTTTTTCATGTGGACTTGGACTTCTAGTAATTCCCCCGGTGTCTTGGTAGTGAGATCGGACACCCGTGTGCATTGTTGCGCTTATAAAAAATCCCGTGGCAGCTGGAAATCTAAAAGAGTAGCCTAACGGCGCTGCCCTGGCAAAAATTTTGAGTTAAAAATCTTTTTAAAGTATTTCAGGATCCTTGTCGGTGCTACAGAGCCTGTGCGCTTATCAATGACAAGTCAGATGAGACAGTGTGGAGATCTTCAGAGGACGAGTCCGTTAAACGAGGACATAAGAGTGCATGGGCATTTACAGCTTGCTCTTCAGGCAGAACAGTTCAGGACGCCAGCGGTGCCTTCTCCTTGACCACCAGCAGCATGACGATGGAGGTGATGGCGGCGACACAAGCTTTCATGTGGCTGGGATCACAGGACTATTCCCGCATGTGTGTGCTGAATGATTCTTTGAGTATGATCCGGCGGGTCGAAGCAGGCTGGTTATGCAGACAGTGGCTTGAGTCATTGCAAAATTCTCCTGTGTGTGCAGTTACTTTCATATTCATCCCAGGGCATGCAGGCGTTGTTGGTAATAAGAGAGCTGATAGACTGGCAGGCACTGCATTAATTTAAGATGGCCGGCCCATGGATCACGCAAACATTGTCATTGCCCTTAGAGAGATAGGACGCTCTGAGGATTTTGGAAGCAATGTGTCCACATCACTTCTAAGAATATGCGATTTGGGAGTAAAGATCGGCACAGCCAAGCATGAGAAGCACACTGGACGCACACAAAGTCTTGTTAACCAACATAGGACTGGTACTATTAACCGCACGACGCTGATGAATATGTTGAGAGGGGAATCTGAGCGCCTATGGATGTCCAGAGTGCTGTGACAATAATCCAACTCATAACTCACAGAGCCTGTGTACTGTGCTGAGCTTCTTTGGACTCAGACTTGAGTTAGAAGAAAGAAAGAAGCACTTAAAGGTTACTGTCCATGTGCCATGATGTTAATCCGTTATTCAGACCTCAAACCTTTTTAGTTGAGAATCACTGAAATATAGTCTTTTTCTTCTTCGCCATGTTTACCGGCTGTAAACTCTAGTGGAAAGTTCTGGTTGTTTGGCCACCTCTGGACTTTAGTCTTGTTTTCAAAAACAAAAATTAAGTTACTGAAAATATTAACCACATATTTTTAACAAATAATATATGTTTTCAGTTGTGTGTAGCTATAAAGCAGACATGAAGGTCTGGCAGCTCATTATCACTGGCATATTTGTGCACCTGGTGCTGTTCTACTCAATCTTTGACATATATTTCACATCGCCGCTTGTTCACGGAATGGCCCCTGTCAAGGCAGCAGTAGCAGCACCTTCTCGTCGACTGTTTCTGTTTGTAGCTGATGGTCTAAGGGCCGACAAATTTTTTGAGAGTGGCCATAGCAGAACTCCATTCCTAAGGTAATTTTGTTTTGATTTCTTGAAGAGCTGTTGAAATTCTGTTTTTCTTTTTCTGCAGAGTAACGTTATGATTTATGTTGCTTGTAAATGCTCTCCGAGTCAAAAGATGATTATGATCTGTGTTACCTATAAGAACTACCCGAGTCAAAAGATGAACATGATCTGTGCTGCTTATGTGAGCTGTCCGAGTCAAAGGTTGATTATGATAAGTGTTGCTTATGAGAGCTGTATGAGTAAAAGATGGTTGTTCTGTGTTGTTTTATGAGAGTTGTGTGAGTCAAGAGGTAGTTATAATCTGTGTTGCTTATGAGAGCTCTGTGAATCAAAAGGTAGTTATGATCTGTGTTGCTTATGAGAGCTCTGTGAATCAAAAGGTAGTTATGATCTGTGTTGCTTATGAGAGCTCTGTGAATCAAAAGGTAGTTATGATCTGTGTTGCTTATGAGAGCTCTGTGAATCAAAAGGTAGTTATGATCTGTGTTGCTTATGAGAGCTCTGTGAATTAAAAGGTAGTTATGATCTGTGTTGCTTATGAGAGCTCTTTGAGTCAAAAGGTAGTTATAATCTACGTTGCTTATTAGAGCTCTGTGAGTCAAAAAGTAGTTATGATCTGTGTTGCTTATGAAATTCATGTGAGTAGTTCTGTCCACTGTTCAATTTTATTATATTAAAAGTTATGTTTTTGTGTATATTTAATATTCAACATTGAAATACAAACATGTGAATATAAACACTAAGAGAGCACTGTTGAACAAATATTCTTACTAGTGCTGTCCTATTTTTGTCAGGCATGGTCACTCTCTTCAGAAGACAAGAAAAATAGTCACAACAGAAATGAAGAATTTACATATTAAGCTAGATGTAGCAAGGCAAAATGCACTTTGGAATGATGATATCAGAAGAAAGGTCGACACAGAACCAGTACTGAACTGTAGACAACAGATCAAATGATTTGGTCTTGTAACAAGAATGGCAGCAAACAGGGCACGACAAAGAGCATTGTTATACAGATAATGGGGTGACACAGCAAAAGGTCAACCATGCAGAATATGGATCACAGAAATATCTGAGACACTGAAAAGTAGGCTCTCCTTGCAGATCCGGACGAGGGTTGGACGACTTAGTTCAGTTGAGTGGGAGTTCTCTCCCTTGGCCGCACTCGAAACAGTGAGCCGAATAGTTACGAAACAAATGACATACTTACCTATCATCATACGGTTGCGTGTAAGGTTGCGTACGGTTGCTGTTAGGGTTGCGTAGTCATCATACGGTTGCGTGTAGGGTTGCGTAGTCATCATACGGTTGCGCGAAGGGTTGCCTAGTCATCATACGGCTGCGTGTAGGGTTATACCTATCATCATACGGTTGCGTGTAGGGCTGCGTACGGTGTGGGTTCAGGGTTAGGGTTTAAGGTTAGGGTTAGGGGTAGGGTTAGGGTTAGGGGTAGGCTTAGATGTGACAATATTGACGTAGGAGTTCCAAATACTTGCCGACAATCTGATGCTTGTGGGAGTGGCGCCACTGGAAGTCTGTCAAATAGGACCGCAATAGCGCACAGCTGGTGCCCAACCGGTGGCGACGTGTCCGTGTCAGTAGCATCCACAGTCCGTCGACTGTTTGGGTGTGTGTGTGACAGTGCGCGATTATTGGGAATTCCTGCGTTGTAAAAATTGTCACATCTAACGCTAAACCTAACCCCTAACCCCACCCATAACCCTAACCCAATCCCTAACCTTAACCCTACCCCTAACCCTAACCTTACCCCTAACCAACACCCCTAACCCAAACCCTACGCAGCCCTACACGCAACAGCATGATGGACTACGCAACCGTATGATGACTACGCAACCCTTCAGGCAACCGTATGATGACTACGCAACCCTACAAGCAACCGTATCATGACTACGCAACCCTACACGCAACCGTATGATGACTACGCAACCCTAAACGCAACCTTACACGCAACCGTATGATGATAGTAAGTATGTCATTTGTTTCATGACTTTTCCGCTCACTGTTTCGAGTGCGGCCAAGGGAGAGAACTCCCACTAAACTGAACTAAGTCGTCCAGCCCGCATCCAACCCTCGTCCGGAAATGCAAAGAGAGCCGAAAAGTACCATGTACGAAGCAAACAGAAGGGTCTGTTCCAGATATCACTTCTTGTCCTGACCCTTTGAGACATTCCAGTAGTAGAGAAAAGAAGAAGATATTTAATGTTAGAATAACTTTAAAATGCAATTTATTTTCAGAGAAGTTATTGAAAAGCATGGATCTTGGGGAGTATCTCACACAAGGGTGCCAACAGAGTCTCGACCTGGCCATGTTGCCCTCATTGCTGGCTTTTATGAGGATGTCAGTGCTGTCGCTAAAGGTGTCTGTTTGTTACGCTACTACATGTTTTTTTGCTCTTGCTGGATGCCTCTGCGTGTATCTTGTCTGGAGCGGATATTGACAGTCATGACTCTCTACATCTCTCTGTCATTGTTTACTTTATTCTCCCTGTGTGGGTTCTTGGGCCCTATATATAGGGAAAACAAGAATAGACCCACTGCCTACCCAAAAGCATGTTGTAAAAGTCGACTAATTGGTAGCTTCCTTCAAAGTCGGAGTACATCTGCCTGAGAGGCAGGGAACCAACAGTCTGCATACAAATGAGTAAGATCTGTTGGTTTTCATCCACCTCTGGACTTTAGTCTTGTTCCAGAACCTAAGTGCTGTGTAAACATTTGTTTCATAGATCTGGCTTCTTTGTATGCAGACTTTGTGGTTCCTTGCCTCTCAGGCAGATGTTAACTTTGAAGAATGTCCCCAATTAGTCGATTCATAAGTCATGCTTGTTGGGGAGGCAGCGAGTCTATTCTTGCGTTCCAGGGGGAGGGAAGGGACCCACACAGGCATCTGTACAGTTGATTGTGCACATGCTTGAAGCAGTCATCAAACTGTAATATGTAAGCAAAATATTTGTCACAAGCAGACTGCTGTCTTCTGTTTTGTTTACCTTTAAAATGGTGGCTGGCATGTTGTGTTGTGGTTTACAGCTAGGTTGCCATGTCTGCACCTTCCTGCCAAACACACCCAATTTCAGCAAATCTCTGAAAAGTTGCTATTTAAGACATCTCTTTATGACATGCTTGTTGTGGGTATGTGAATCTGTTCTTGTGTCCTCGAAGATGAATCCCCAGGAAATCACCAGGGAGCTACTGCCATATTAGTCAGTCAGTCAGTCAGTCAGTCAGTAGCATGTCCCTTGCAGAACCTCGCTCCCATAACAACCCTCCAGAAAACTTTTCGATCACAAGCAAGATGTCCCGTGTCGGATACACCCATCTGGAGATCATCCGCCACATCCTGCACCCATCTTCTCTTTGGCCTTCCTTTTCCGCTCTTCCCTGGCATATACCATGATGTTTCAAGTGACCAAATAATTTTAATATTCTGTTTTTTATCGTCTTTAATGGCCAACCTTCTTCAGTGTTCAGTTCTTGAAGTTTGGATGCATTTGTTCTTTTCTTTACCCATGATATTCTTAGAACCTGTCTATATAACATTTTTATTCATATACCATATAGCAGGAGTATATATACCCATGTGTAGTCATATATGTATGCTCATGTATGCAGGACTTTTTCTGCCTCTTATTATTTTATTTATATATTTCTAACCAACAAAGGTTGGAAAGAGAATCCAGTTGAATTTGACTCTGTTTTCAATGAAAGTCGCTACACTTGGTCATGGGGAAGTCCTGACATACTGCCAATGTTTTCTAAAGGTAAACAGAATTTGTGTTGCTTCATGTAATGTTTCTCTAATTTTAAACAGAATTCAGCTGATGAAAGGTGTTTTTTTAAAGTTGAAAGTAGAAAGCCTAAGCAACAACAACAACAAAATAGATTGGTGAATATTCTGTGGTAGTGCTCTTCAAACTGTTCACAGCCATGAACCAGCAAAAGAGGGAAAATTATTTTGCAGACTACCCGACAGCCAACACACTAAACAAATTTGGATAAGGGTTTATTTATTATATCACAAAATTATTTATTAATTCTTTTTTAGTTAATTTGTGAATGGTTTAAACCTTGAATTTATGAAGCATAATGAAGGAATTATATACTTTTAGTTAATTTGTAGAGAGTTTAAACCTTTGATTTTATTAATCATAATGAAGGAATTATATACTTTTAGCTAATTTGTAGAGTTTAAACCTTTGATTTTATGAAGCATAAGGAATAATCTACTCTTAATTTGTGGAGGCCTTAAACCCTAACAAAGATCATGTTTGTTTTTTTAATTTAGGCGCAAGTGGAGGCCATGTGACCATCAGTTGCTACCCATCCGGTCTTGAAGACTTTGCTGGTTCAGATAAGACAGTACTGGACTCCTGGGTCTTTGATCAAGTGAAGGTATGGCATAATTTGTGGGGAATTCTAAACATCTTGTATGGGTCTTACAGGCTGGGGAAATTATAAATGTATTTCTCTACATTTACCAGGGTTTGATTTCTGAGGTGGGCAGTTTAGAACAAGTCTACTTTGTATGTAAATCTACCTTGATCTACTTTTTGTTCGGTTTTATATCTTTCCATGACATCTTTCCAGTTTAGAACAAGTCTACTTTGTATGTAAATCTACCTTGATCTACTTTTTGTTCAGTTTTATATCTTTCCATGACATTTTTCCAGTTTAGAACAAGTCTACTTTGTATGTAAATCTACCTTTATCTACTTTTTGTTCAGTTTTATATCTTTCCATGACATTTTTCCAGTTTTGAAAAAGTTTACTTTGTATGTAAATCTACCTTGATCTACTTTTTGTTCAGTTTTATATCTTTCCATGACATTTTTCCAGTTTTGAAAAAGTCTACTTTGTATGTAAATCTACCTTTATCTACTTTTTGTTCAGTTTTATATCTTTCCATGACATTTTTCCAGTTTTGAAAAAGTCTACTTTGTATGTAAATCTACCTTGATCTACTTTTTGTTCAGTTTTATATCTTTCCATGACATTTTTCCAGTTTTGAAAAAGTCTACTTTGTATGTAAATCTACCTTGATCTACTTTTTGTTCAGTTTTATATCTTTCCATGACATCTTTCCAGTTTAGAACAAGTCTACTTTGTATGTAAATCTACCTTGATCTACTTTTTGTTCAGTTTTATATCTTTCCATGACATTTTTTCAGTTTAGAAAAAGTCTACTTTGTATGTAAATCTACCTTGATCTACTTTTTGTTCAGTTTTATATCTTTCCATGAAATTTTTCCAGTTTAGAACAAGTCTACTTTGTATGTAAATCTACCTTGATCTACTTTTTGTTCGGTTTTCTATCTTTCCATGACATTTTTCCAGTTTTGAAAAAAGACAGTTCTCATGATGTTCAATCCATGGTATGAGAGTTGCATTGGACCCTCACCGTGTATTCTTCCCATAGTCTGCAGTGAACACATATCAGCCAACATCCATTGTGGAAACAGCAGTGTTTTTTTTTCCTAAAAACTGAAATACAAAGAGATTCCATTGAAAATGAGATTAAAGTGTTAACACTTTGATTTTGAATGAACAGACAAAAGGAAACAAAAGATACAGACACTGTTTATGATTTTGATTTAACAATTCTTTCTCAAAGTCTTTATTGTTTTTTAGAGGATCAGTTGTCTTATTGTTTCAGAACTTGCATTGTCATAGATCCAGGCTATTCAACTGACTGCCCTCAGGCTGGGACCTCTGCCCGTGACAATCACATTTGTCAGCCTTTTACTCGCTGAGTAAACTTTATTAAATGACCTTGTCAAAGATAATAGTAAACTTCATTTATTGAATATTACAGTTTTTTTTTTTTTTTTAAATCATCAGAAGTTGTTGCACTTTTACGTAAATGTTTCAGAGTTTCAATTCATTATCTTCTTGATGCATGAAAGTGGGACATCCATTTATATCTTAACTCCAAAGTGCATTTCACTTATAGTTATCTTGTACAATGCATTTTGTTGGGCTATTCCTTCCAAAGCAATGATGAAATATGCACAGTGATTCGGAAGGAGTTGAGTTGCGTCAAGAATTGACATCACAGCGTTCAGGGCATTCCCATGCATGCTCTGTCCTCATCTTCAGCAGCCAGTGCAGAGTTCGATTTGGAAGAAATATAAACCACTGCTCATATCACGCCATTGCTCCAGTTCATACCAAGCTGCCAGTACTCATAATTCATCATTGCTCCAGTTCATACCAATCTGCCAGTGCTCATAATTTATCATTGCTCCAGTTCATACCAAGCTGCCAGTACTCATAATTCATCATTGCTCCAGTTCATACCAATCTGCCAGTGCTCATAATTCATCATTGCTCTAGTTCATACCAAGCTGCCAGTACTCATAATTCATCATTGCTCCAGTTCATACCAAGCTGCCAGTGCTCATAATTCATCATTGCTCTAGTTCATACCAAGCTGCCAGTGCTCATAATTCATCATTGCTCTAGTTCATACCAAGCTGCCAGTGCTCATAATTCATCATTGCTCTAGTTCATACCAAGCTACCATTGCTTATAATTTATCATTGCCTCAGTTCATACAAAGCTGCCAGTACTCGTAATTCATCATTTCTTCAGTTCATACTGACAGTACTCATAATTCCTCATTGCTTCAGTTTATACTGCCAGTACTCATAATTCATCATTGCTGTAGTTCATACCTAGCTGCCAGTGCTCATAATTCATCATTGCTCCAGTTCATACTGCCAGTACTCATAATTCATCATTGCTCCAGTTCATACTGCCAGTACTCAGAATTCATAATTGCTCCAGTTCATACTGCCAGTACTCAGAATTCATCATTGCTCCAGTTCATACCAGGCTGCTATCAAGAGTGTGGGGACTTGAACCAAGTCGCAGTTTATACCCTGTTCTTTACCTTTTCACCACCAGAGGACCGTTAAATAACTTAGAAATCAGCTTTGATAAATAACGAAGTCTTTCTTGAGATATATGAAGACAGATTAGAGAAATTAGATGTAGTTTCTGTTTTTCAAACAAGTCATGAGAACAAATCGACCTATTAACTTGGTTACAACTGACAAGACTAAAGGGGGAAAAAAAAGAGCATATGGAAGGTAAAGAGATAAAATACCCGGATGGCTTGGCCATATGGATCAGGCGCGACAAGAGCAATGACATAATCCCTGATCTGGTAATTATGTTAGATGATGAAACATGACAGCTTTTGCTTTTCAGCACAGCACATGATGATGATGATGTGTTTCTTGATACCGCAAGAATTTGGATACTGTGCTGTCTACAGGAGTCAACTACTAAAGAACCTGAGTTGCACCACGGCATTCACTGAGGCCTGCGACCTTCTTATTTGAAAACCCCCGGCAAGGAGAACACAAAAGAAGATAACTACTATTTCATCTCATGAAACATCCAAGTACTATGTAAATGTCTGCGTTATTTAAGCAGTGTTCATCTTCTGTACTGTTTTCTTTTCTGTAGGCATTTTTTGCATCTGCATCAACAAATGTGACCCTGGACCAGGCTTTGAGGGAAGATAAGCTGGTGTTCTTCCTCCATCTGCTTGGGATTGACACCCATGGGCATACCAACAAACCCCACTCACAGTAAGAGATCATTTGTTTAGTTACTTGTGTTCAGACTGGTTTGAGAGTTGAGTTGTTGAGTCAAGAATTGACATCCCAGCACTCGCGGCATTCCCATATGTGCTCCGTCCTCATCTTTAGCAGCGAGCGCAGAGTTCTAGTACTGATGGTAGCTGTCACAATCTGGTTATATGTCTGTCTTGCCTTTCCTCTGAGTTAGTGAGCCAGCCAGACCCTCTGGTTACACCCAGGTGCCTCATTATTTCCAGGTTTGAGATATTTTGAGTATGTCAATTCACTGTAACTAAAACTTTGTGACTGTCCATACTGATTCCTTATCTGTATCATAAGGCGTCATAATGTGCATATGCAGAGTTTCAGTAGCTGACAGAGGACAACTCTAGGCCAGGAGATGTCATTATATATACTGATGGGTTAGTGACTAGGGGCATAGGAGGAGAAGAAGGACTGTGAAGAGCTAGGTATACAATATTACCACATCTAGCATGAGAATAGAGGTTGAGGCAGTAACAACAGTAACTGCAGCATCCCAATGAAGGGAGTAAATCTCAGCCACACATGTTGTCATATCAGATTTGCAAAGCATGCGCAGGAAGACGGAGTCAGATTTTCTTCATGTGGAATGGGTCGCATCAATCCAGAGTTCGCAGGGGGTGAGAGTGTCATGGACATTTTCCCTGGGCTATGTTGGCATGTTTGGGACTGAGCCGGCAGATATGCTGGCTGGACTGGCCCTGCTTGGTGGTGTTTTGCAAATGTACAAGGCAGAGGTAGTCTCCCGCCTGTGAGAAAAATATTCATAATATGCATATTATTATATTGCATGGATTTGTATCAAGGTGTGGGGTGTCACAGGTCGACCCAGCCTAAAATAGGTACTAGGATGGCTGTCCTCTGGAAATAAAGACGGCTGGCGTAAAGCTGACCACATTACCCACCTAGTGCTAATTGGCCTGTAAAATATGGGATGCTCTTCCCATTTGCCCGATGCGCCTTAAGGTGTGAAAAGGGATCTTTAATTTAAAAAAAAATATTATTATATTAATATTACATGCTTTAATGATAAAATACAACAGCGGTGTGAAAGATGTTTGTTCTGAAGGGCCGGATGTAAGACAGGCCTGCATGCCCAATGAAGATCTAAAATTGAAGATATTAAAAACCAGTACCTGAAGAGAATAAAGCATCAGAGAGTGTCTGCTGGCTCAGGGCACCACCGGAAACTCAAGGAAAAAGCAAATCAAGCAGTTGACTAGATGACAATGGGTACCAACAGTATGTACACTCTTCGTTAGTTGTTGAGAAGCCAGCTGGAGCTAATACTGGCTTGTCCTGAATGCTGTGATGTCAAATCCTTATCCAGGTGAAGACCCAGATTAGGTATAATTATTACAATCATTAGCTAGATCATTCTGGAACTGAAAGAGTTCAGTAAAACTGAATAGTTATGAGTAAGCGTTTTTAGAATCTGCTATTACATTTGTTGTTCAAATTACCAAGACCGAAACATTTACTTTTATTTGCTGTAAATTTTTAATTTCCAGGGCATATCTTAACAATATTAGACTGGTTGATGAAGGTATCAGAGATATTGTTACTCTTATCGAAGAGTTCTACAACCATGATAACCAGACGTCTTACGTAATGACAGCAGACCATGGCATGACTGACTGGGGTAAAGTTCTTAACTTTTGCTCATTTTTTTGTCTCCCACAATTATTAATTAGTGATATATGTTTAATTATTATATTTTGTTTGTTTGAGATCTTTTCAAATGATCCTAGGTATAGTATACAGAGACCATATCACAAATGGTAAAGTTTACTGTAGCATCCCTGAGCACATTGGCAACTATGAACCTCTTTTAACAACAGTGACAAGACAGAAATTAAGTGGTACATACATGTACCAAGATCTACCAGCCTCTCCAAGACCATATTAGAGGGCTCTATAGAGGGAAGATGAGAAGAGGGAGACTAGAAAATATCTAGGTAAATTGTTATGCTGAATGGACAGGCCTTTACTACGCACACATCAGGTCTACTGCATCTGATCAACAGAGGTGGAGGTAGTTGATCAGACAGTTAACAGCAACTAGTTGACCCAGTGACACACAGTGATGGCTGGGATTTTTTTCACATGGACTTCTAGTAATTTTCCCTGGTCTTTGGGTAGTAAGATTGGACGCTCGTGTGTATTCTTGTGCTTGTAAAAAATTCCTTGGCAGTTAGAAACAGAAAATAGTAGTCAAACGGCACTGCCTGGGCAAAATTTTGAGTCAAAAATCTACTCAAAGTATTTCAGGGTCCTCGCCGGTGCAACAGAGTTTGTGCACTGCGCTGAGATTCTTCGGACCCAGGCTTGAGTTATAAGTAGAATGATATTGTTCCATCGAATAAGCATAAAACATAAACATATGGGAATAAGATAATGTGATATTTGTTTCTTCTTCTTTGTGTTAAAAAAAAGTTACTAGTTGTGTGTCAACCTCTGGACTTTAGTCTTATTCCAGAACCAGAGTGTTGCGCGCACATCCATTTGAAAGATCTGATTTATTTGTGTGCAGACTGTTGGTTCCTTGCCTCTCTGGCAGATGAACTCTGTCTTTGAAGGAAGCCACAAATTAGTTAACTCCTACGACCTGCTTTTTGGGAAGACAGTGGGTCTATTCTTATATTCTCCACAATGGGGCCCAGGAATCCACATGGGGATGATGTTTCTTTAAAAAGATATATTTAGTTTATTTTAGTTGTACATTTTCAAACACAAGGTTTTCCCTTACTGACTACACCTGACGAGGTAAAACTAAATATTGTGAAGGCAACACACACACAAACAAACTGCCATTAATTTGTAAGCAATGCTCTACAGGACATTGCAGAACCAACCCCAGCATTGTTTTTTAGGCTGTTGTGGTTTTTCTAGACAAATTTTACACTTAGTAGTTTGCCATTGCTTTCTAAGCCGTCCGCTCTTGGTACCAGTGTCGAAACCAAGACAAGATAAACTATCCACAGCTGGGATCGTACCCGGCATTACGAAGCTTGTTCACAAAGCCTAAGCCACAGATGCCAAAACTGTCATAACTGCCTTTAGGCAGATTGGATCTTTGAGCCTGAGGATTTAGGGCCGCCTGGTTGGTGCTCTCACCATGGACTGAAAAATATCCATAACCTTACCGAGGGTTTAGACCCGGGTCTCCTGCTTGAGAGCCCTGCATGCTTAACTGTTTGACTGCTGCTCCTCTTTAAAAACACAAAATTTTGCTAGACAATAAAGGATGGCATTATATTGGTTGTGTCGGCTCTGCGGCTAAGTCGATGCAAACGGTTCGTAATGCCGGGATCCTAGGCCATGCGCCATGTGTTGGTTTTGACAGTGGTATCAAGAAAGTCGACCGTCCAGAGAGCAATGGCAAACTGCTGGACGTAAATTTGCCTAGAAAAACCACACAACAGCCGGGCATTGTTGGGGTTGGTTCTGCAACATCCTGTAAAGGATATGCAACTAACTAACCTATATCAGTTGTATCCTAACTGATTAGTCGTTTCTTGAATTCAGAAACAAATGTCATGCATATGCTCGCTCTGTACATAACATCATCATCATTTGGTTGGGCCATTATAAATATGCCACAAATTTTAGAAAGAAATGCTTAAAAAAAAATTTTTACCAAAAAAAAAATAAAAAAATACCAGAGTATCAGTGTCCATATATCCACATGTTTATGCACAAATAAGTTACCACATATGCCTGGTACATTCTTGGAGAAAGCAAAAATACCTTGAAAAACTCTTGAAAACTGTTGGTGGATTTGGCTACAAACCCTTGCTTGGTGAGCAGGTCTATGCCATCTTTAAAGTCAAGACAGGAGACGCTGTAACCAACTTCTTATGGGAATAAACATTAAAAGTATCTTAGAGTGGCTAATGCAGCAGAAGAATATGAAGTGTGCAGTGATGTTGATTGTGATAACAGCACAACATAAAATAACAAGGACCATAAACTTTGGTTGGCAGCTGGCAAAGTAATTCCGACTGCTCTTTGCTCTTCAGTCCACATCTTCAATTTCTTTTCCAAATCTTACCATTTTGCTGACTTGCCCCCCCCCCCCCATCCCCCCCCCCCCCCCCCCCCCCCCCCCCCCCACACCATCCTCCCCATAGCTTTTTTTCTGTGGCATCTTCAGTAGGGTTTATTTTTCTTGTAGCCAGTCTTGATTGTTTTCTAAGTTGGATGAGGACCAAAATAACATTCAGCAACACAATTTCCATTCTCTGAATATTTTTTAACTTAATTGTAGCATTGTACAAAATTCTTTTCTGAACAGTGAGTGTGAAGACAAGTGCAGAAACTATTACAGTGGACAAGAACTTTTAATTTTATTATTGTTTTCCATTTTATGCCACCCCTGAACCCACATTCCCAAATGAGCCCCTAGACAAGATAATTTCTAAAAAATTATTTGGTTAAAAATCTACTACCATTATATTAGGTGCGTACTGTTTTTATAATCCTATTTTTATTTTTTTAATAAGTGTGTCTTAGAGAAATATGGTAATCTGTCCCTCGATGTAACAAACTTCCGCCTGGTATATGGCATTTTTTCATTGCCAGGACTTATTTATCTGGCGGTACCAGCATCTTTGTTTTTTTTAAAGGCATAATTATTTCCATTGCTACCAAAATCGACACTATGAATGAGTAGCAGCACCTTTTTAGACACTTTGTGTGAGTAGCAGCACCTTTTTTAGACACTTTGTGGTGAGTAGCAGCACCTTTTTTAGACACTTTGTGTGAGTAGCAGCACCTTTTTAGACACTTTGTGTGAGTAGCAGCACCTTTTTTAGACACTTTGTGGTGAGTAGCAGCACCTTTTTAGACACTTTGTGTGAGTAGCAGCACCTTTTTTAGACACTTTGTGTAATAGCAGCACCTTTTTAGACACTTTGTGGTAAGTACTGGCACCTTATTTTCCTAGGGAAAAACCCTGCTCAATACAGATTGTTTATAGTTGTTCTGATCTGATGCATGCAGGATCCCATGGTGCTGGCCATGCACATGAAACGCTGACCCCATTTGTAGCTTGGGGTCGAGGCGTGCGAGGTCCCGTTCTATCTCACAGCTGTGGCAGTTACACAGATTCATTTTGTGAAGGTAAAGCCCAGCATATGCTTGTTTTAAATATGTTGTATGTCGTCCTTAAAATATGGGCTTTTTGAACTGAAATGCTATAGAAAGATTCTCTGAATACCATTGTCCAAGAAGAAGAAATGCTGACATCCTTAAAGATCTGATCATCAAGGAAGATTGGGCTTGTCTTGGAAAATGAAATACTTTGGCCATATCAGTCTCCATGGCGGATTGAAAAAAAAAATAATAGCAGAAGACATAGTACCAGGAATGAGGAGAAGGGGCCGACCAGGATATAAGTGATACATTAGGTAGAAAATGGATGGCAGGAGAGCTGGCGAGAGATTACATCTTTTTTTCAGGCTGACTGTAATGAGAGTGACGTTCTGCAAAGGACCTGCAACATGAACACATACTGTGCCAGAGCCGTCATTTTTTAGTGGCTAGATGCCTCTCTACAGGCTTGAGAGTCTTTTGTTTGAAACCACCTTGTGGCAGTTTGTTGTGATTGACCTTGTCTCCCAGGCTGACCCAGCTTGAAATGGATCTCTTAGGAAGTAAAAGCTGACAGAGTGATACTTACCCCTCTGCCTGATTGGTCTGTAAAAACACGGGTCTTCCACAGTATGCCCGATGGGCCAGTGACCGAATAGGGTCATTTCCTGTACCAAATACTGTGCCCAGTGGCAACAGAAGGGGAGTGCAGGGGTTGGTGGCCGCCCCAGGTATCATCACCACACAAAAAAAGGTAAGTCACAGAGAGGAATGGAGGCAGGTGATATGAGCCTCAAGGGGTCAGAATGTGGAAGAAGAAGATTAGTGATGTTTGCCTGCACTGTCTCCACAAAATAATAAATTAGGAACGTCATTTCCTTTACCATTGACATAGAAAGTGTGGTGCTAGGGGATGTCATCAGTGAAGGGAGGGATAACATGGCAGAAGTGGGTTTTTTTTTTTTTTTAAATAAGAGAATAAATATTGAAAAGGGTGGGGGGGGGGGGGGATTTTCCACGCCAAATACTACCTGGCCTTTGCCATGCCACTGACTGTGCCAGCTTTTCATATGTTGCAGTGACCACAAAGTAGTTTAACTGTCCATAAAATTTATTTTGTTATTGTTGCAGGAAACACTGTTCTGTTGAGAATTTCTTTCTTTACAAACCAAAGAATATTTGGAAAATAACATCATCATCCTTGTAATGAAACACAATTTTTATTCTGTGCATCTTCATGAGTTTCCTGGAAAAGTATGCAAGATGTGGGTGCTGCAGGGAGGGCTAGTGACTTACATCTTGCAGTCTGCAAGGCTTTTAGAAAAGGTTGGAGAGCAGGGAGGTCTAGTGACTCACATCTTGCAGTCTGCAAGGCTTTTAGAAAAGGTTGGAGAGCAGGGAGGTCTAGTGACTCACATCTTGCAGTCTGCAAGGCTTTTAGAAAAGGTTGGAGAGCAGGGAGGTCTAGTGACTCACATCTTGCAGTCTGCAAGGCTTTTAGAAAAGGTTGGAGAGCAGGGAAGGTCATTTCCGAATTTTCTAGATGCCTATCAGTTTCCAAGCAGGCATTAAAATGCAAAATAAAAGGATTAAGGAGGTGAAGACCTCCAAAAGAAACCCTAAGATGAATGTTGAAGAGGGAGGCCAAAGCTGCTGGATTCCATCCATTATAATGAACTGGTTGCACAGGCTGGTGCCGACTGGAGGAATAGACTATGAGCCCTGTGTGGCATATAATGGCACAACAGAATAATGCATGAATGAATGTCAGTTTTCAGAATGCCCGCAGGAATGTGGAGAAAAGTTCATTGTGGTACCTTACCCTTGTATTCTTACTTCCTAATTTGTTATTTCATGGAGATACTAGTACGTGTAAACATTAGTAATTTATTTGCCTTTTTCTTTTTTTAGCATTCCAAGCGCTTGAGGTTCATTAATGCACATATCAACCTCTTCTTTTCGTCTCCATGATTGGCCTTCTCTTTCCTCTTGGTGACTTCAAATGTCTGTCTGAATATTGTCTCCCCATTTCTTCTTGGTCTGCCTCGTGGTATGTGGCCATTTAACTCCCATACAGTTTTTGCTTCTCTGCAATCTGCCATTCTCACTATATGCTCCAGCTATCTTAGTCTATTAGCCCTCATGATGCCAGTGATCAATGATGATTTAAACAGACTTTGAATTTAATTGTTGCTTCTCACTCTCCATTCTCTGCAGTTTGTATCTTTTATTGATCCAAAGACTCATCATGAGACTGGTAATTTAAAAAAAAAAGAACTATAGTATGGCTTCATCTCTCTTAGTTGTGCTCCAAGTTTCAGCACCATATAATAGCCAAAATAGCAATTCTAATTTAAAATATGTTTTTATTTTGTCCTTTTAGAATGGAATTTACAAAGTGTCAAAAGATATGACGTTGAACAGGTAGGTTATTACCTAGAAAAAAAAAGGTATTTTGTTCACCTGTTTGTTACTGAGGCCCATAAGAAAATCAGAGTAAATTACACAATACCATGGACCATGTTGAATGGAGGGGGAAAATCAGGAAAGGAATAGTGGTAAATGACAAAATGGTTGCAGATAGGTTAAGAGAGGCAGAGATGTGGTTATATAGATGATGATGGGAGTACCCTGGAGGGATGAATGGAGTAATGAAGATGTCTTGAAAGAAACTTATAAAGAGAACTGATTGCCGACATCAGAAAGAGATAGTGTACACTTTTTGGTCATGTCATAAGAAGAAAACAATCCAGCATCTTCTATGTTGGTCTCCCTCCGCCTCTTTTTCTCTCCTACTTTCCCACCGTAACGGTGTACTCTAGTTTTCTCCTTCTCATGACATGACCAAAGAATGTTGGTTGTTTGTCTATTTGTCTACGTCTACTTCTCATGTGGGCAAACAGTTCTCTTCCTGAGTTTGTTAACAAGACAACTGTTTCATGACTGTAACATGACAGCTGTTTCAAGACAACTGTTTTGCAACTGTAACAAGACAATGTAACAAGAAAACTGTAACAAGACAACTGTAACAAGATAACCGTAACAAGACAACTGTTTCAAGACAACCGTAACCTACCATCCATGTTACAGGAGACAACTTCTTTTTTGAACATCTTTTACTAATTTAAAATTTAAAAAGTAAGCCAAGAATATGTTTACACCTTCGGCACATCTGGCGTGTGATGGTTGACTCGTATTTGTATAGACCACTTGGCCCTCAGTGGGAGGTGGGGTTAGCATCATGTTGGTCTCTTGTATTTCCCAAAACATTACCTGGTACCCATTTTAAACTAGGTCAGCCTGGGGGCCAAGGTAAGTGTTTGAGAAAGACCTGACTCAATATGGATGGAGGCCAAAAAACCTTGGGTCGACAGCGATACTCATTCAACGGCATTTTTGACTTGAGCATTGCAAATTACGAGGTGCTGGGTTTGATCCTAGCAGCAAATGATTTGACAGCAGATCACCTTGTATTGGTTTTGACAATGGTATCGTGAGTTAACCATTCAGAAAGCAGTGGGAAAACTACAGAGTGTAAAATTGTCTAGTAAAACCACAAACAATGAAAAAATGCTGGGGTTGGTTTAACAACATCCTGTAAAGGATGTGCAACAAACTTAGAAAACAAAAGTCATTAATGACAAATTAGCATGGTGTTTTTGGCTTGGATTTTATATTGGACCATTTTGAGATCTTCTACTTTTCTGCATTCACCCAGAAAAGGGCGGTTGGCACGTTGTGTTGTATTTTACTGCTCAGCTGTGAAATCTGCAGCTTTAAAAATAGGTCTGGAACCCATACAGAGGAGCTTTTGATATTATGAAAACAAACAGTTTGTTTTTTAGCACCGTCTGATCAGGCATGTTTTTGTGAGAATCAAATGGTGGCTGGGTCTGCAACCAAGACCAAACTTCAAGAGCAGCAGCAAAAAAAGGGGAAGGGGGTGAAGTCAAACAAGAGCTCTATGCAGGAAGCCAAATAAGAATAATAAACCGTGTTTTCTAAGAATTTTTCTGTAGCTTTTCAGTTCCGAAGCCCAGATTTTTGTTGTTGCAATGATTGGGTAAGATTGGGTTTATTATCTGCATGAGTAATTATTTTTTGAAATTTTTTATTCAACCATTATGCCAGGCTGACATAGCTCCACTGATGGCATTCCTCATTGGGATTCCACTTCCTGTCAATTCTGTGGCAAGTATTGTTTCATGGCCACTGTCATAACATTTATATTGTTCAGCATTGACTAGTAATAACAACTGTTAACTATTAAAACACTTACCTAACAAAACAAAAGTACCCATATACTCATCACTGACTATAAAAGAAGAATTAATGCACAATTTAGGAAGAGAACTAAACAAATCCAGGAAATAGAGAGATAAGAAGAGAACACTAGATAGGACACACATTGAGAAAATCTGATTATAATTTTTAATCATTCTCCTGTTATACCATTGTATGTCAATAGGGCCCCAAGCAGTCTATTCCTTCATTCCGTTCTGTCCTGTGCAATCAGTTTAATATCATGGATGGAATCCAGTCCATTAGCTTTGGCCTCTCTCATCAGCGTTTGTCTTAGGGTTTCTTGGTTGTGATAATAATATAATGATAATTGTTTTAAACTGCAACCTGCAGGGCTAGAGAGAGGGGGGGGGGGGGGGGGGGGGGGAGGGAAAGAGAGAGAGAGAGAGAGAGCCAAAAATTCACTAAGACGAGAGAGAGTCGGAGACAGATGATTGATTTGAGAAGGATATGCAGTGAACTCCAGAAGTACACAAATGATTGGATAGCTTGGTACAAGATACTTGAAGTACTCAGCTCCAGTCAGAGATAAAGATTGGGTTAAGTCTATGGCGTGACACTGTGAGCTGCGGATTTCATTTGAATTTTTTCAGCTGTGCTTAATGTGGTTTGTATTGTGAACTGCAGATTCAGAAACTGTGAGTGGCATGTTACCAAGGAACTGGTGATGCCTTATGCGATTAATTGTGTGTGCAACTACTGATTTATTGTAACTGCTGCTTCCATCAATGATGATCTTCATTTCTAGAGCTGGACTGATTGTTTTGGCACTGCTGACAGCAGCATTTTGCATTTAAGGCAAGAAACCGTGATGGCATTCTGTGTGGTTTTGTTTGGCACAGGAACGGAGCAGTTATGGTGTTGACCAGTTAACTGTGAAGTTGAAACTGCAATTACCTAATTACGGGAGAAGATGAGTACTTCGCTCTGATGTGAAAGGTAAAAGAAGCCTGGATTTAGAAAAATCAGAATCTAAAGAACCAGACTTAAACAAGTCTTTAAAATGTGTGCATCTATGTGTATGGAATGTTATATCCAGTCAAATGTATAACATTCATTTATCTTTTGATACTAATAGCTCATTTTTATTTGTTTCATTTGTTTGTGCTTATAGGGCATCCTGCCGATCGATGTGCTCAATGCTACAGATGCAGACAAGGCACAGGCTTTACTGGCAAATGCAGAGCAGATTTTAGCACAGTTTCAGGTAATGTCAGATCTGAGATTCTTTGGTTCAGATATTCTGTCTTTTCTGTTTTTTTTTGTCTGAGCTACACACAATTTTTAAAATGTTGAATTAGGAATTGACATCATAGCACTCGGAACACTCCCAAGCGCTCTGTCCCCATCTTCAGCAGCAAGTGAAGAGTTCCGACTCTGATGGTACCAGTAACTGTCCGATTGTACATCCATCTCACCTTTCCCCTGAGAGTTGCGTGTCGCTCAGATCACCTGGTAACACCCCTCATCTCCATTCTCCTCAAAATGTAATACTCTGTTTGTGCCTTCGCACTGTTCACCAACTCTTAAAGGGCCTTCACAACATCTAGCTTGTCATACATCATTGTTCATTGTTTATATAAATATCATCTTCAACGCACATCAGAGATGAACATCAGTTCACCACCAAGTAGTGCAGAAACGGACAGTCTAGCTGCTTGCTTGTTTCGCAACTCAGGGTGCCACTCTGCACAGAGCATGCCTGTTTCCACCTTTCTCAGCATACTCTGGGAGTCGGTTATAATTATGGTGTGTGTACAGCTGATTCTAACTCCAGCAGAAGACAGTGTCTGAGTTAAAAAGGTCATGTACTTAAAATGCTTTATACTTCATTAAGATATTCATTCATAGTTCTATTGTGCCATTATATGTCACATAAAGCTGCCAGTCTTTTTGTCTATTTTGTTGTATCCTGTAAAATCACTTTGAAGCTGTGGATTGGAATCCTAGTCACAAAATCAAGTCAGTGAAGAAAGGGAGCTAGCACAAGCTGTGTGTGTAGGCTTCTGTAATTGTCACGACGGTGGTGTCTCTCTTTCTGTAACAGTATTTTCCATTTAATGATCCACAAATCCCAGGGATGCACAGAACACATTTAAGGGGTTTTAATGTTGCCAACCAGATTGTAATGCCATCTTCCTCTTGTACACTTTAATCTAAGTATGAGCAATATATTAACACCCACAACTGACAGGATATTGTATTGTGTATTAACCTTCTGTGACTCCTCATAGCCCTTGAAACAAACAAAAAAAGATCATTAATATTATTTATACATATTATTATGGCAAGATATGGAGTAAGCGAACATCTCATCGAAGTGTGCAAAAGTTTATACAGGGATTGTAGAAGTGTAGTTAGAATAAATCAGGGAAGATCTCATCCATTTACAGTGACATCTGGAGTAAGACAGGGGTGTGTCTTATCACCACTGCTGTTTATCACCTACATCGACAGTATATGCAAGAATGCCAAGCCCATGAATGAAAATGTTAGTAAGATCAACGAATTACTCTTTGCAGATGACCAGGCCTTGATAGCAGATACAGCTATGAAATTGCAACAACATCTAACATCCATGAATGAAGAATGTAAAACAAATAATATGAGAATCAACACTGAAAAGACAGAAGTAATGTCAATAGGAAAAAAGAAGACAGATCTAAACATAGCAATAGAGTGCAAAGGCATTAAACAGGCATCTGAGTTTAAATATCTGGGTACTACATTTACCGAAGATGGAAAATTGGATAAAGAAATTAATATTAGATGCAGTAAAGCAAACCAAGTATTGGGACAGCTAGCCCACCTCTTTCAGCATAAGACAATCCCAATCAGCACAAAGAGACATCTTATTCAAAGCATATTTATTCCAACTCTGTGCTACCAGTGCCAGACATGGTCACTCACAACAAACCATAAAAGAAAATTAGTAACCACGGAAATGAGATGTCTGAGAAGAGCTGTTGGAGTGACCATAAGAGATAAGATCAGGAATGATATCATAAGAGAAAAAGTCGGCACAGAACCAATTCTGGATTACATACGAAGACAGCAAGTGAAATGGTTTGCCCACTTAGAGAGAATGCCTTGTGACACTATACCATACAAAGCATACATGGAAAGAGAAGAAGAACGTAGAGCACAAGGTAGACCAAGAACAAGATGGAAGGATAACATCAGAGAAACTCTACAAAAGCACGATGTGCCTATGGTCGAGGCGGCCAGAAGAGCTAGAAACAGAACCTTATATCTCCCTCTACACCCACAGCGGTAAGAGAGGAAGTGAAGAAGAAGAAGATACATGCTATTAATGACCTCAATATAGTATAAGCAAATTTTTTTTTTTTAAAGATGTCATCAACTAATTCAAACTGATTTAAGAAAACTATACCTCAAATAACCGGGGGGAGTAAGGGCAGCCGGCATGATGCTGACCACATCACCCATCTTGTGCCAATTGGTCTATAAAATATAGGTCTAGCCCTATATGCCCTATATGCCTAAAGGCATGGAAAAGGGACCTTTACTTTACTTTACTTACTTTAATTTTGAAGAATAAAGAGAAGAATGCCATTCTAACATTTATAAGTTCTTCTGTGACTTAAGTGTAAAGTGGGACAAGGTATCTCTCACCATGCCATGCTGCTATATTCTGTGTTTTTTTTAATTGCAGGTGAAGATGAACCAGATCAAAGAGAGAACCATTTCTGCAACATTTAGACCTTTCCAGTAAGTTTTTTGTGTCAAACTGTTAGTTGAGCAAGATAAAGATTTATAAACTGTAAATCTTCATTAACTGGTGCGTATGCAGAATATAAGGAATTAAATGTTATAACATCAGTCAAGCTGAGCCTTTGGAGAGAACTAAGAAAATTCCACTGAATCAAGCAGTTAAGAAAATACGTTGACGTTAGATAGAACACACATTGAGAAAACTTGAGAACTGTGTAACTAGAAGGGCTTTAAATTGGAACCCACAAAGCCAAAGAAATACGACAGATTTAACGGCTGCGCACAACAACAAGATTGTGACAGTCGTCCTGGTGGGGGCCGTGTTTAGGATGCTCAGTGTGCGGGACTGTTTGTTTCGCGCCGGTGTTGCTGGGGACTGACTTGGTACTAACACAGATGAACAGTGCAACAGCTAGCGGACAGCCAACTAAAACAGGAACCAGGACCCATCAAAATCAGAACTTAGGCAACAAATGAACAAACTCAGGTGTAATTGCTCACCGCAAGGAAGATAAATAAATAAGACAACAAAGGAACCGTCCTTGAAAAAGCAGGCCATCAGGCGGCTAAAAAAGGACTAAGCTTGGAATTTTTGTTTGATTTTATACGATACGATACCAAAGAAATAAAGGTAGACCAAAAACACCAGAGATGGAAGTTAGGCATGTGATAGCAAATGATAGGATAACGGATAACTTACGGTAAGTTGGTTGAGAGACTATGCTCCGTTAAAGAACAAAGGGCAGAAGATAGATATCTTTTTGTTACCATTAGTTTCAGTCTGCCCTGGGGCTCAGAGCTATGAACACAGTTTTATAATTCCAGCATACTGTATTTGGTTCAGCTGTGGGTCATTAGGTAGGTGATCGCCTGGCGTTGACTTTGATAATGGTGTGAGCAGTGACTGGCGAAGGCAGTGGAAAACTACTGATCATAATATTGCACACTGGAAGCACAAGCAGCCAACAAATGCTGGGAGTTGGGTTGTGTTCTGCTGTGTTGTGTATACAACTAAACTGTTTAACTATCAGGTTTACTAGAGTTAATGTAATTGCAAGAGTTGAGTTGAGTCTAGAATTGACATCACAGCACTCAGGACATTCCCATGCATGCTCCGTCCTCATCTTTAGCAGCCAGTGCAGAGTTCCAGTTCTGATGGAACCGGTCACAATCTAGTTATATGCCCTCCCTCTGAGTGTAATGAGCCGTCCAAACCCTCTGGTTACACCCATGTGCCTCATTCTCTCCAGGTCATAATAATCTTGCTTCTCTACTGATTCCGTTGCTTGTTCCCAAAGGGCCTTGACCACATCTGCCTTGTCATGCATCAGTTCACCACCGACATCACAACACTTGGGCATTCCCATAAATGCTCCGTCCCCATCTTCAGCAATATCATCATCATCATCAGGTCCCTTGCCGAGTGGCGTGGGCGATCATGCCTCTCCATAATCCACGATCTCCTGCAGCATGTATCAGTTCATGTGCCGACACACCTCCATGCCATGCAACAAGACTGTCAAGAATCTTCTCTTGTTGTCTTACTCAATCTTCAGCAACACATAATTCAAATACCAGTGGTGCCCATAGCATTCTGATTATACCTCCGTCTCGCCTTTCCTCTGAGCGTTGAGCATAGGCCAAAACCCTTCATCACTCCCCGCTGCATCAGTCTCACCAGACTGTAGTCATCAATTTGCTCCTCCAAAATTGTACAAGGCCCCAACCATGTCTGCTTTATGTCTATACAGTATGAGTCTAACATCATATATGCAGTACCTGCTCAAAAAGGATCCTTTATTGCCATGAATGCTGTGTCTTCTTGAGTGTATTGTCTCCAGTAATGCATTAATGTTTCTTCTGTCTGTATTTACCCTTTGTTATTTTTGTTTTGTTTGGGTAGGCGTCAGAAGCTTTAGGATTTAGGGCTGCATAGCTGGTGCTGTGGCCACAGACTATGAAGGTTAGGATGTTTATTTTGCCCCCGACAGAAAAACTCCTGTCACCTTATTGGGGGTCGAACTCGGGCCACCCACGGAGAGCATGATTAATATTCTAGTATAATGTTGTGTAGGAGATACTGGTGTTGACTGGGTAGAAAAAAACACAGTTGAGAGATCTCGATTTTGAAGATGATTTGTTCTGCTAAGTACGAACAACAGGGACATGACAAGAAAAACAGATGACTTTGCAAATATAGCTTCAGAAGCTGGATTACAAATTATTTATGAAAAGACAAATTACAGACAGTAACAGATAGAGGAGAAGTCACACTGGAAACAAACAAACAACAAGAAATTAAGTAACAGATCAGTTCACTTATTGAAGTAGCAATTTTGATTGCCAAGGAAACACAAAGGAATAAATTATGACACACATTGGCAGGGCAACACAGCTTTTAAAAACTTTAACAGAATATGGAACTCTAAATTATTTAATGTTTAAAACCAAGTTACATATTTTCATTTCTAATGTTATTTCAGTTTTAACATTGCCAGTGAAAGTTTGAGAGCCATTGATGTCTTGGAATGAAAGTTAACTGCATTCAAAAAGCATAAAATAGGAGGAGTTCAAGAAAGATGCAAAATAAAAATATGTCTGGACAACCACTGGCATATAATAAGGAGAAGACAGGGAATACCCAGAATGGCACTCAAATGGGTGTTTTATTAATATCCTACCCCATAAAGGGGAAATCCACAGGTCACGGAACAGTCTAAAATTTCAGGGGCTGGTAGATGGGCTGCATGCAGTCGTGGGACCTAGGCTGCACTCTCTCATGGGATGTAGGTGGCTTGGGGTAAGGGCCAGTTCTAGATGTTTGGGGGTCGTTAAAAGCATCAGAAAGCTGGGAAACCCAGTCTTACCACTCTCTAAAATGTTGGACTGTCCTGTGATGTCATTTTGGGTAGGATATTAATAAAGCACCCTCAAAGGTGAAACACACTGAAGAGGAACAGAGGATGTCCAAAGGAAACCATAAGATGAAAACTGATGAGAGAAGCCAAAGGTGCTGGACTGAATTCTATCTATGATATGGAATAGGACAGAACAGTATGGAGGAATCAACTTTGAGTCCTGTGTGACATTTCATTAATAACATTTGTTTGAGGTATAGTTTTGTTAATTTAGTTTGATTTAGTTGGTAACATCTTTTTTACATATAATTTTCTTATTTTATATTGATAGCCTGTATAAAAAATAGTAATAACTTTTTTTCAGGGACCTTGAGGAGTCACAGAAGGTGAATACACAATCTTGTGTCAGTTGTTGGTGTTATTATATTGCTCATACTTAGATGAAAGTGTACAAGAGCATGTCGTAAAATTTATTTAATAAAGATGTTGCCTTGGAAGTTGGAGAGCATCTGCTTGAGTTGAGAGGAACCAACCGTCTGCTTACAAATAAGCCAGATCTGTAAAACGGATGTGAATGCAAAACTCAAATTCTGGAACAAAACCAGAGTCTAGAAGTGAAGGATCAATTTATGCTGGAGTTTACAGCCGTTGGACACGAAGAAGAAGAAGAAGAAGAAGATATATATGCAAATCTACAGTCACTTGTGGTCACCAATTGAAAAGAGAGGTCCAGTCACAAAGATGAAGATTGGGTTCTGACAGCAGCAATGAATCTCTTGGGTGAATACACCAGTTTTTCAGAACAAACATGTAATAATTAACACCAAAAGAGCACTATTCAATACAGTATTTTTACCAACATTGTGTAACCAGTGCCAAACTTGAAAATTAACAACAAAAGACAAAAGAAAATTGAAACAGCAGAAATGAAATGTCTGTCGCGAATCTGACATGTAACTAGAAGAGACAGGATGAGAAATGACGATATCAGGAAAGAAGTTGTTGAGACGGAACCAGTACTAAACTACATCAAGAGACAGCAGATCAAATGGTTTGGACATGTGTCAAGACTACCATCAGACACTGCACCACAACAGACAGCCTTGTCACCTAGACACAATGGAAGCAGAGCCAGAGGTGGACCAAGCAAGCGTTTGATAGATGGAATATTTGAGGCAGTAAATACCAGCATTTATCTAGCACATACCAAAGCTCTCACCTGATGCCTCTTCAAAACCTGGAGCTAAAGGCAGAACAAGACTAGAGAAGAAGAGGAAGTCACTGTAGGTATTCGGGCACACATCTCATTGTTTGAGAGGGTGACACTCTGTAGCTCTTCTTTTACAGAATGTCTCATTTCTGCGAAGGAGAGTCAAAAGTGATCTACACTTTTCATTCTACAGTTTATTGACCTGTGTTTCACTTTGCACATAATTTGTCTACGTAATCTCCCTCCTTTTCAATGCATTTTGGCCAACGGTCAACAAACTTACATACTCCTTCCAAATAAAAGGTTTTCATTTGGTCTTGAAACCATTTTTTGCACTGCATTCTGCACTTCTAAGTCTGAGACAAATCGACAACCTCATGTACAGACTTTATGAAAGCTGAACTCGTCGTGGATGGTTTGATGGGCAGAACCATGATTAAAGTTTAGCGCAGGTGCTACCTCATTGATGGTAATTGAACAATTCATCAGAACCATTTCTTGAACTTTCTGAATGTTTTCATCTGTAGAGGAGGTTGATGGCCATCCTGCTCCCTCTTCATGCGTTACACTGGCTCGACCACTTTTAAACTTCTCGATCCACAAAAATACAGTTTTACGTGATAGCGCATTTTACCCATTTTGCGGTAAAAGTCTGCGATGACTTCTGAACCTTTGACACCCTCCGACCACAGGAATCATATCACTGCTATTTTTTTCTCTTTGGTGCAAACTTCTAATGTAGCGGCCTTGATCTATCTGCAACAGAAGGAACAAACATGGCAGAATTAGGATCAAACTTTCATTACATTACCACAATAGTATAACAATAAAATAAGTGAGGATAGAAGTTAGTGTGGGCAATGTAGGAAGAGTTATTTCAAAAGTGTAGATAATTTTTGACCTCCCCTTGTATACAAGACAGTCTAGAA